TTGTTGTTGTTGGGGAAGTTGCTGTTGTTGTTGGGGAAGTAGTTGTCGACGAGCCAATTGTTTCGGAGGCTTCGATTGCGGGACATGGACCATTCTTGCACCAGAGTCCAAAAATGATGCAAGCTGGTCAATCTCAGAATCTTCTTGGTCGGCATAAGGCATATATAACCTCATGCACATACTATTCATTTCCTCCTCAGTGGGATAAAGAATTGGTACGGCCATTCCCTGTATATTAAAAGAACATACATTTAATGATTATTTAGGTGGAAACATATTGTAAAAAAAAAACAAATATGCCTATTTTGTAAAATTTACACCTATAAAAACATTGTATCCTTCCCTCGCCACTGTGCATGAGGTCGTCTATCTGTCTAACCTCGACCAATGAAACCCGGCGTGCCTCCCATTTGAGGATTCTGGGAAGACGTCCCTCAACCATCTTTGCAAACGTGGCGCCGATGGTTGGAAATGTTTCGAATGCCCAAACCTGCGTTAAACCAATTTTTTTAAGTCTAGTAAACCAATTATGGTATTATTTACTATAAGGCCATGAAAAATTATGCATATAACTATATGACATACCTGGAAGGCCCAAGGAAACCCGCATATTGAGTAGGTTTCCTTGATGCTCTTATTATGTCCTTTCCGAACCTATTTCTGAAATTTCTCTCTCAAGTTCTTCTTCAAAGCCTGCAGAGTGCATTCAAAAGACACCCTGCCCCATGGATAGCTGTTGAAGAATTCTAAATCGTCAACGTAAGACAGCCAATCCAGTGGGACGGTCTTCTTCTCGTCCCCAGATAATAATACTTGTGCTAAAAAATAAATGATAGCGATCTTTGCTTTATCGCTACCTTTTATCTTCTTTCCTGTGAGCAATTTTCTTAAATCAGTAACAAGTACTACGTGGGACTTAAAATGCTCCAATAATCTTCTATTCTTTGAAGCTTTCAAGATCACGTCCGGCTCTGGAGTTTCCCCGCAGTTCAATCCAGTAATTAATGCAAATTCCCTCATTCCAAACCTAGTTGTGGTTCCATTAACCATGAACCACAACTCATGTCTCTTTTTTGTTTCTATCCGCCTCAAAAGCAGATATTGTGTCAACACTCCAAAATAAATCATATTTTCAGACATCGAAATAAAATGTCTGAAGACAGACTCCTTGAAAATTGGCATTTCTATTTCGGGGTCTAGATTCTGCCTAATTACCTCCAAAGCCTCGATCTTTGACTTCATAGTCACTTTCACTGGGAAATACTGCCGCACATGATCCATGATCATCTTTAGATGTCCGATCCCAGGAAGTTCACCTGTGTTGTACTTTGGGAGGTCATACTGAAAAAGAAGAAAAAACACACCAGTCAGAACCGACCAAAACGACAGAACCGACTAGAATAGACCAAGAAACCAACAAGAACCGACTGAACCGACCATGACCCGACCCAAAATCCCCGCAGAACCGACCAAACAGACAGAACCGACCAAAACCGACCAAAACTGACCTGAACCGACCAAGAACCGACCTGAACCGACCAAGAACCGACCACCAACTGACCAAGAACTGGCCACACCAAGAACCGACCACACCAAGAACCAATCAGAACCGACCCCTCTCGACAAGAACCGACTAGAACCGACCCCTCTCGACAAGAACCGACTAAGAATCGACCACCAGAAACGACTTAAAACCGACTGAGAACAGACCAGAACCAAAACCGACTAAGAACCGACTATGAACAGACCAATGTTGCTTATATTAAGTTTTTGTTCTTGCAAAAATATATAAGAAAAAGTAAAACAAGAATATTACCTCAGCAGATTTCGTTGCCTCGTCGACAACTGTTCGGGAAATGGCCGTTTTAGTTGAGGAAGAAGAGCTGGTTTTTGATGCCATTTTAGTCGGATTTTGGTGAGCAGGTGGTCGGGAATTTGGTAAGTGGTCGGGGTCGGTTTTTGGGCGGTTTTAGTGGGAAGGGAGTCAGTTTTTGATGAACGGTCGGTGTTTGGTGAGTGGTCGGTCGGCCGAGACGAGAGAGATCGGAGAGAGAGAGAGAGAAATAGGTGAGAGGAAAGCCGGCGGTCGGTCGTGAGGTTGGTGACTGATCGGAGATAAAAGCTGGCAGTCGACGAGAGGTGATCGGAGAGAAAAACCGGTGGTCAGTCGTGAGAGAGCTCAGTCGGTGGAGAGAGGGTCGAGCGGTCGGTTTCGGGGGGAAGAGAGGGTCGAGCGGCGATCAATTTTGTGAGGAATAAGATTTTTGAAAATGACCTAAGACTAATATGACCCATTTTTTGCCACATAAAATACACATCATCATTTTTTTATTATAAAAAAAAACTGATCTATTTCTTCAAATTCTAATTTTCTCGGGTCTCTTTTATCAAATTTTCTCGTTCCTTTTGCAGTGAAATACACGGTTTTGGAAAAAGAAAAAAAAAATCTCTCTCCCCTGCAGCCCTGCTCCTTTGAGCTTTTAGATTTCGTTTTCTTGTTCCACCAGTCTACCTTCTTTCCATCTCTCTCTGCAAAACTCTCTCTCTATTAGGTGTCCGCCATGGCGTTTCCCT